TGGTGATTGTTTTTCCTTGTAGATTTTTTGCCCTATTAGAAAATTGGGTTATTGCCCTGGCTAGTGTTGCTCAGTGGTAAAGCATTGGCCCACCCACTGAAGGGGTCGAGTGTTGATTCTGGTCAAGGGCATGTACCTGTGTTGCAGGTTCATTCCCTGGCCCCTGCAATGGAAAAAATCAGTGGGAGAAATATCCTCAGGTGAGGGTTATCAACAACAAACATTGGGTTATCTTTTTATTGTTGAATGTTGTTTTTTTAATGTGTGGGTTTTTGTTTTGTTTTTTTGTTTTGTTTTAGAGAGAGAAAGGAAGGGACAGAGATAGAGAGATAGAAACATCAATGAGAGAGAAACACTTTGATCAGCTGCCTCCTGCAAGCCCCTTACTGAGGGTTAAGCCTGCAACCCAGCATGTGCCCCAACTGGTAATCTAGCCAAGACTTCTTGGTTTCTAGTTGGATGCTCAATCATGAGCCATGCCAGCTGGGCTGTTGTTGAGTTTTAAGAGGCGAGATTTCTCTTATTGATCTGGGTAGGACTTCTTACAATGCCCAAATGGAGTGATGAGAGAGTATAGACTTGCCTTGTTCCCAAATTTAAGGGCAAAGCATTCAGTCTCTCCCCATTAATTATGATGTTGGCTAAAGGTTCCTTGGAGATAATTTTATCAGGTTAGGAAAGTTCCCTTCTATTCCTGGTTTGCTGAGGTGCTTTTTGTTTTTGTTTTTGTTTTCTTTTTTTTTTTTTTTTATCATGAATGAGTGATGAATGAATGATGAATTTTGTCAGGAATTTTATGAATATAATGAGATGATTTTTCTTATTTTATTGTCAATATGATGAATTGCGCTGATTGGTTTTTAAATACTGAACTTGCCATGAGATAAACCTCATTTGATCATGATGTATTATCCTTTTTATATATTGCTGGATTTTAGTGAGTCATTAGGGAAAATCGAATTAAAACCACAATGGGCTATACATTATAGTCCATTAAAATGGCTACCACAAAAAAGACAGATGACAACAATTGTTGGTGAGGATGTGGAGAAATTGGACCCTTCATACATTGCCAGTGTGTATGTAATAAATATGGTGCGGCCACTTTGGAAAACAGCTTGGAATTCCTCCAAATGCTAACTATAGACTATCTTAAGACCCAGAAATTCCACTGCTCGGTATATACCCACGAGAAATGAAAACATATGTCCACACATAAACTTGTGTACAAATGGGTAGCAGCATTATTCGTAATAGCCAAAAATCGAAACAACCCAGATGTTCAGCAGCTGATGAGTGGATAAACAAATGTGGTATAGCCACACAATGGAATAGCATTCAGCAATAAAAAGGAATAAAGCACCGACATGCTCAGGGATAAACCAAAAACAAACGTTATACTAAGGGAAAGAAGCTAGTCATTGAACGAGCTACTCATTGTGTGATTGAACGAGCTACAAAGCTACTCATTGTGTGATTCCATCTAGGTGAAATGTCCAGAACAGGCAAATCCATCGAGACAGAGAGATTTTTGGTTGCCTCGCATTTTTGGTGGCTCTTCTTCTGCCATGTCTTCAGTGGGCGAGTTTGTGTTGCTCTAGCTAAGAAGTTGGGCCGCTGCACGTTCTGTAAATAGTACCAGTTTGTTTCCCTGCCTGGCTGCTGTAGGTCTTCTCTTGCTCCTCAGAGTCTCTCCCAGCCCCCTCCAGGTGTGTTCCACTTTTCACTGCACACTTGCTAGCATTTGCGTTAAGGGCGGGGAAGAAAGGCACTTTCTGATGCTCTGATTAACGTCAGTCTTACACAGGCCCTGGAATCTGGGGCTTGAGGGTGTGGCCTTCTTGCCTCTGTTCCAGAAGTGAAGCTGGGCTTAGCAGGCATTCCTGCCCTCTCCAGGGGCTGAGAGCGCTGTTATTTTCCTGTTCCCTTTCCCAGCTGCAACGGGTTTCCACCACTGCCTTCAGGCTATACTTCTCTGCTGTTCTGCAGTTTAATGCTTTGATTTCCTAGCAGAAATAGGGAACATGGAATTGGCGGCATTTCATTGGTGGCTGTCCGCCAGTGCTCAACATTTTGTTGACTCCCCCTGAAGAGTAAGGCGTTTTCCTCTCCGAGGGGATATCGGTCCATACGGGGTTCCAGCAGTGGCTACTGTTAACCTTCTCTAGCCAGCCCCGCAGGGGAACTTTCTCGAGGTTCTTCCCAGTCTTCCTGATGAGTCTGTTGAAGAGTATATACATTTATGTTGTTTTAAGCCACCTAGTTTGTGGTTTGTGTTACCACAGCCTTGGGGAACTACTGCTTCGTTCAAGGTACCCTAAGTCTGTGAAAAAGATGCAGTTCTGGGAATTGGGTGCAGGGCTAGCTGTGTTCTCTATTGTGGTGACTCAGCACGGGTCTCAGTTTGCTAGGTCAAGAGGTCGGACGTACTGGGCTGCTCTTCCATTTTGGTTCTAAAGGATTCATGATTATTAGCCATTGCCCCTAATTCCCTCCATTAGACAGTTCTGATTACCATGCTGGTCCTGCTGCCGGTGGGTCTGATACCCACCTTTTTGCCTTAGAAATGAGGTTCTGCTCTCGTCTCTATTCCCCAGGGAACCCGGTGTCCATTTCCCTGAAATCAACAGCACCTCAGTATAACGGCCACAACACTCTCTTAGAACATGCTGCTTATTCCCACAACAATACCCCAAATTTAATAAAGTCCAAGACACCATCTATAATAATAAAAGTGTAATATGCTAATTAGACTGGAAGTCCTTCTGGATGCCCTTCTGGACGAAGCCATGGCAGCAGAGGCTGAGGCAGCAGCTGCGGGGGCCAAGCCCCTTGCACGAATTTGGTACATCAGGCCTCTAGTCAATTGTAAAATACACTATTGTTTCATGAGCTACTGGGGGAGGGGCTCTGGCAATGTGTAGTGACCTACAGTAATTTATAACACACTCTTATCAGAGACATGAAAAAAAAAAAAGTGTATTTTAGGACTTGTGAAATACAGTATTTCTCAAAGCCTTGGTAGAGAGTGTCATTTGAGCTCTTTCAAGGACCAAAGTTAGAATGTGAGTGACCAGATCGTATGTGATAATCCATTCTAACACTTCTATTAAGACTTGGGTTCTTCCTACATTAAAAAAAAAAATTATTGGGGTGACATTGATTAATAAATGTATACAGGTTTCAGGTACACAGTTCCACAGTACATCATCTGTATGTTGTATTGTGTGCTTTCCACTCCAAGTCAACTCTCCGTCCATCACCACCAGTTCCCCATGATCCACTGCCTCCTCACTCATTGCGGGCTCGGAAACAGCTGATCCGTGGCCGTGCAGCCCACACTGTGCTCCGGCCACAAGGGAGCTGGAATAGCCACTATTGGGCCTGTTCAGCATCTACAATAGGAGACAAAGCCTGCTGCCATCTGTCACTGTGTGGGAATTCCCATATGTAGAAAAATGGTGGATTCTGATTGGCTACAAAGAATGGTGAAGGTCCATGGTACCCTTCCCCCTCTTCCTCTCCTCTGCTCAGGATTCCCCTTTTCTCTTAGCACAGCGGCAGATAGTTGACCTGTCTCCAAAATATAGTCTTGTTCGACTGTTGTGTTAATAACCTAATGCAATTATCCATTTCCTCTGGGTCGCTGTCGTAGCCTGTCTTCCCACTTCCGCACTCGCTCCCTTCCAATGCATGCGGATTCTCCAAAGCAGGAGTATGTTTCTTTATAAATCACCCAATAAAACGCCTTTGCTTTAAAGCCTCCGGTGGCTTCTTTTTTAACTAGGATAAATTTATAATCCTTATTTGGTCTCTAAGGAGGAGGGTGATGTTACGTCTCATTTTGCTTAGGATGTGATCTACTTCTAAGAGAGAGAGCCTCCTGGTATTCTCAGAGAGATGCAGCGTGGACAGTAAGTTAGTGTCACTTCACCTAGAAGGCCTGTGTTTTCTGAGCCCTGTCTCCGCCACTCCCCTCCCCACTAAATCCCACTCGCACTTGTCTTCTCCTCGCTCTTCTCTCTACTTTGGAGCCTTTGCAGGTTCTGTTCCTCCCACTGGATATATTTTTCCTCCCATTTCCCCACACAGCCTTCTCCTTGTTATCCTTCAAGTCTTAACACCCACCTCTGAGCTCCTTTCCTTAGCACTCTGTCTAAACAGCTCTGCCGCGTTCTCTGTTTCATTCCCTTGTTCATGCCACAAGAATCTGAGGTTCCGAAGGTCTGTTCGCTTGTTTCATCGCTGCCTTACTCACTGGAATGTAAGCTTCCTGAGGCCTATGTTTTATTCATCGTTGTATCCCAAGGCCGAACAGAGAACCCTCATTGAAGGGCTCCCTCAATAAATAATTTGTTAAACAAACAAGTAGAGGACCTTCGTTCCCTGACCCCCTGACAGGGTTAAGCTCCTGCGCTAACCGGCCCAAGCACGCTGCACTGTGCCTCCTTCGCGGTCTCACTGTTACTCCTGTAGTAATTTCTCATGTGAGCTCCACTGTCAGCTTCTCCTTCCGGATTGCACCGTTCTAAGCAGGAGAGAGAACAGGCCTGTCTCTCCTGCTTAGAACAGGGCCGTTCAACAAGCAGGCGTCTTTACAGATGTAAAGGGGTTTCCTCAGGGACATGTGCCTGGGGGCTGGGGAAGGAGGCCCAGTGACCCCGCAGCCTGGGTCTGTGGGGACAGATTGAAAACTTTAAGGGCCCGTGCATCGGATCAGAGGAGAGGGCAGGGAGTCCACGGTGGGCTCACACGCAGCAGGACTGGTAGCTGGCCTCGCCTTTTGTTCGGCAGAGTTTCCTTGACTTGGCTTCACTTTTAGTCTCCCCGTGAGAGGCTTCTTGAACCCCAGAAAAATCTGGGCAGGTCAAGGGCCAGGTCTTGAGGGTGGCAGATGGCAGAGATGCAGCAAGGCCCCTGGATCCTGGGGGAGCTGGGCAGGGGGCAGAGAACACTGCCAGCTAACATCCTAACTCGTTCTGTGTTGTCCTTGTGAACAGCCATCACTGGATCTGCAACCACAGGCAAGCCAAGCCAGGTTCCAACCATAGCCAACCAAAGCATAACTGTGTCACCGGGGAATCTGAGCACATCGCCCAGCGTCCCAGGGGCGAATTTAGCCCCTGTGACAGTATCCAGCGGCGGAGATAAGAAAGCAGAGACTACCACCAGTGCGGGGGGCCCAAAGCAAGATGCAGGCCAGACTTCACCTACTCCAACGGCTACGACAAAGCCCAAGCCGGAAACCACAAGCGGCCAGAATGAAATGAAAACTACAGCTCAGGCGGGGGCCCCAAATAGTGTTCCTACAAACATCGCGACCACTAAGCAAGGACTTCAGCTGACCACTCAGCCTCCACATGTGGTTAGCACCCCAACTACCACTCCTGCTGCTCCTCCCTTGACCACCTCAAGCACTCAACAGCCGACCCTGGGCCCTGGGACTCCGGGCCCCCCAGGAAGCTCTCCTGTGGGGACAACCAAGATGACTACGGCTCCCAGGAGCCCAGGGACCGTGCCGACAGGGGATGCAGGCACATCTCAGGGGGCATCTACCCTTCCAGGTAAGTAATGCCTTTTATTTTCAAGCGAGAAGAAACTTTTATTTATTTTATCGTTTTTCAAATCCTCAGCGGAGGATATTTTTAATTGATTTTTAGAGAGAGAGGAAGGGGAGGAAAGGAGGGAGGCAGAGAAAGAAAAAGAGAGAGAAAGAGAAGGCCATCGACGTGAGAGAGAAACATCCATCAGTTGTCTCCTATATGCACCCCAATCGGGGATCGAACCTGCAGCCTTTTGGGGTATGGGAGGATGCTCCAACTTACTGAGCCATCTGGCCAGGGCAAGAAGAGACTTACATTCTTAGATTCTATACAGTTGCTCAGCTGGAAGACGGAGACCTACGCTCAGGGTTAAACATTGTTAAAGACACGCCACCTTCACTCAGCCCGGTGCATCCTGAGCATTGATGTTGTGTCTTGCCCAGCTGAGCACAGACACAAGCCAGCTGTCTGCTCATGGGCAGGACTCGAGGGTGGCAGTGGAGAGGTATTATTAGAAATTCTCCAGAACAGTCTTTCCCCAATGTGTTTGATGGCAGTCCGTAAGGAATACATTTTGGTTTGACACTGTGATGCAGGACTCATACGTGTAAAATGCATGTAACACACACATGACCGATGCAAATGTCCACTAATCAGGGCTTATCCTTACCAGACGTGACACACCTTGATATTTCCCATTTCATTCCATTTCCTCTTTCTTTTTTAAGTTCCGGTCTTAATCCAGTAAATCAGTTTCGGAACTCACTGATGGGTTATGAGCCTCACGGTCATGGCCCATGTCAGAGGGTATTGCAGCAGAACTGCAGGGTGCAGGCCTCAGGATCTGCATTTCCCAGCTTCCCCAGAGAGTCCAGGTGCATCCCGAGGTCACGGACTGCCACGCCGGGAGGGGGTGGTCAAATCCCGCTGGAAGAGCAAGGGCTCTGAGTGGGATGTGGCTGGATTCAAATCCTGACTCAGCCACTTGTTAGCATATGGCATTAGGCAAACCTCCGAGCTCATTTTCCTGTTTATAAAGCAGGGATAATCATGGTACCTGCCTCCTGGGGTTAAATAAGACAGCACCTTTGAAGCACTTAGGACAGTCCCTCCAGGAAGTCAGCGCCTCAGTGCATGTTAGCCTTTGCTGCTGATGCCACTATCACTGTTGTTACCTCTTTCATCTGTTCTCACGCTGGCTCCCCAGCTCACCCCACCCCACCCTGCACCAGGCTGCAGGACGTGCCCTCTGCCTTTGCGTCCTCCTGGTTTGCTCACTCCCGCTTGCAGTCCAGGTGGACTGGGGACAAGAGGTAGGGGGAATAAGACCAAAGGACCCGAGGAAACGTAAGAACAAGAAAGACTGGCCTTTTCTCTTCAAGGTACCGCTCACCGTTTTTCACAAGCTTTGTTTTCCCAACAACAGCCCCACTGGTTACCTCACAAGGAAGACAACCCCTCTCCAGCAACGTGCCAGTCACCACGGGGGCCCTTTCCTCCGCTGCCGGGACCTCCCCTGGGGCCTCTACGTCTGAGCCCCCGCACCCAGCAGCACCTTCATGGGGACCCTCGGCGGCCACGTCTCCTGTGGGACCCCCAGGCCCCAGCACTCCCCTGGCTCCAACTGCCCCCCAAGACCCCAACATCCCTTCTTCCACCTCCGCTCCTGCGCATGAGAGGGTAAGCCCAGCAGGGATGGGCCGCAGAGAGCCCAGACCCGGGTGGGGAGGTGGGGAGAAGGGGCTCTCCCTGAGAAGAGCATTTCTCTTCTTCCCTCCAGCCCCAGGCCCCTGGCGAGGGCAGCAGGAGCTGCCGTCCAACGGCCCTGCTCCCTCTCAGCTTGGTGAGGCCCTGGCTTAGATGGACACACACACACACACACACACACACACACACACACGTCTGGCTCTGACTCTCTAGCCCATCCATGCCCCCATGCCAGGAACTCCTTTGTCTCACCCACCCAGGGGGAGGAGGGGAGGAGTCAAAGATGAGGTCCTGTCTGTCTCAGCCTGAACCTTAACCAGTGGCTTCTTACAGGTGATATGTGAGTCTCCGGAAAGGCTGACTGAGAAGATGCTCATCCTGAACTTCACGAAAACCAGCCTCTGTGTGAGTGCCTCGCTAACCCCAGCCCCGCCCGATCCTCACCCCAGAGGCAGGTCAGCAGCAGCCGGGTTAAGGAAGGGGGCCAAGCGGAAGCATTCCTTCAGAAAGGGGGCCGAGCTGTGTTCACTTTCCTGGTCTTGTTTTGTCCTATTAGGAGGGAGCCCCATCCCCTCTTAGAGGGAGGAAGTGGGGTTCAGGTGCCGCTGTGTGAAGCCCCAGCCCCAGGGCAGCGGCAGGGCCAGGAGCACCAGGCGTCCTGGGCTTTCACTGTGCAATTGTTCACATGCTCTGAGCACCATCAGGAGAGCCCGGTCCTAGTTCTCGTCCGCCTCTAGCGCAGGGTGGCGTTTAGTCCATCTCTGTGGGCCTCAGAGGCCTCGAGTCAAAATGAGCAGCTTAGGCTGCTAGCCCGCCCTGTTCTTATCGCCTGGTTTTCTGTTTCCTGGGCCACGGCCTCAGGGAAACCAGAGAGAGAATCTTGCTTTAACCTGAGGAGTCAGAGCTCCTGAGCATCAGAGGGCCTTTGCCAGGTTGTTCTCCCAGGCGGAGGGGTGCGTGTGTGTGCACTGGGTGGGGTGGCCTGAAAGCCAGAGTGTAGCCTGGTGTGGGTTTCAGTACCCAAATGGCTGAACCCTGCGAGTGCAGGTGATGGGCGGCTCACTGCTGCCCTCTCCTGGTCAGTGCTTGTTTTTGCAAGCACCCCTAGGAACGAGACTAGAACATGGTTTCTTAAGAATGGAGAACTAGGGTTCGTAGCACTTCAGTGCTGCTTGTATTTTCTGCAGATGTTTCCTTTTGGGTGCCCGTTTTTCTGGCATTTTCCAAGCGAACTTTATTTACAAAAGCACACATTTAGACGAGAGTTTTGGAAGGGGAGCAGTGTTCCCCGGAGGTTGGGCTTCCTGGACCAGGGAGGAATCTCATTGTTGCAGGCTGTCACTGGGTGTGGGAAGCATTTTCCCCATTGCTGTGAAAGGCAGGTGGGAAGCCCTGGATCCTCACCTGGTGTCAGGCTGGGGAATTAATAAGCCTAAGAACGAAACTCAGCAGTCGGTTTGTGGGGGTCCTGAGGTAAGCCGAACAAATAGTCCTTTCTTCACCTCGGTCCCTTATTCCAAAGTCGGGTCAGAGAAACGCCAGCTCGGTGCCTCCAGATAGCACATGGCAGGACTGGGCAAAAGCTGCCACAATTTGCTTCTTCGCTCTCTGCTCTAAGGCCACTCCAGCAGGGCTCTGTCTGCCTAGAAATCTCCCTTCCAAGATGTCCCATAATGCATCTTCAGGATACTCCCTGGTGCCCTGTTCAGTGATGGCCCCGCCTTTCATGCAGTCAGCCTGCTTATGGTTTCAGAGGATCTTAGCCTAGGCCAGTGGTCGGCAAACTGTGGCTCATGAGCCACATGCGACTCGTGAGCCACGGTTTGCCACTCTGTTGACTAATGAGTTTGCCGACCACTGGGATAGGGGCTTAATCTCAAGGAACAACAATAGCCTATGATTATTGGAATGGAGTGTCTAGGTCAGTGGTTGGCAAACTCATTAGTCAACACAAGTTGCATGTGGCTCGAGAGCCACAATTTGCTGACCACTGGCCTAGGGAATAGGTACATGTTTCAATTCTGGGATAGATGACCTTGAACCTCATGAGAGCTATGGTGTCCTCTGCTGAGGTCTCTGAACTGAGCTTCAAGGCTGGAGTGAGGCTCAGAGAGAGCTGGTCTTTCCCACTGGGGGTGGAGTGGCTGTACCTCCTCTGGCCCCTCCTCCTCCTCCTCCTCCTCCTCCTCCTCCTCCTCCTCCTCCTCCTTCTTCTTCTTCTTCTTCTTTTTTTTTTAAATATATTTTTATTGATTTTTTACAAGAGGAAGGGAGAGAGAGAGCTAGAAACATCAATGACAGAAATACCAACCAACTGCCTCTTCTACACCCCCTACTGGGGATGTGCCTGTAACCAATGTACATGCCCCTGACCGGAATCGAACCTGGGACCTTTCAGTCCGCAGACTGACGCTCTACCACTGAGCCAAACCAGTTTCGGCTACCTCTGGCCCCTTCTAAGGAGAGAGATAATGAAGAGCATTAGGGTGAAAGGCCTTGTTCCATGTAGACAGGGTGAAGGCCTGGCGGCAGAGAGGTGCACGGGGCGTGGAGGGAGGGTCAGTCCTGCAGAGCAGCACCGATCTCTTAGCTCCTGGCCGGCCTGGGAACGGCCCCCACTGAGGCTGGAGTGGGAAACAGGTTCGTGCTGGGCAGCAGCCCTCTCTCAGCTGCACTTCCGAAGGGCAGCCCCACAGCCTCGGCTGCTGTCGACTCCCCGAGGAATCTTCACCTGTGGTCTCCTACTCCAGGTGGGGGGCCCCAGGAACCCTCAGGATGACAAGCTGGTCACACACCTGTGCCGAGTAGCGAAGGCCAACTTCAACCCAAGTCAAGATTACTGCGACATAGTCTTGGTGCCTGATTCAGAAAGCCAGGCCGTGGCAATCAAAAACATCGTTACCCTGAGTGAGTTGGGGGCAGAGAGGGGCCGGAGTGGGGATGGGGTGGGACGGGTAACAGCTCAGGAGACCTAGAGACGGGCCAGCGCTGGGGCTCCCTCAGTTCCCTAGGAATCTTCAAACCGCCCCGTCCCAGGCCGCCCCAGAGGGCCCCTCCCAGGCTGCTCAGGAGGTGGGGATACAGCCTGTCCTCACCAGATCACTGAGCCAGACCCCTGAGGCAGTGTCTCTCCCTCCCCACAGCTAACCACCTGCCCACGGATCTCTTAGAGCCGCTGAAAGACAAATGGGATGACCTGAAGGAGGTAAGGGGCTCCTCCCACGTGCTGGGACCGAGGGGTCGGGCCCACCCCCCAGAAGTCCCCAGGTACTTGGCTCCACAGCATCTCTCATTATGGAGCCACCTCTAGCAGACAGGTGGGCAAGAGAGGAGACAGCAGGGCAGTGTCCACCCCCCCCCCACACACACACACACTCTCAGCAGAAGGCCTTCTGTGGGAACCAGAGAGAGGGCCTGGCACCTGTTCTCTGCTATCCCCACCTTCTCCTCCTCTGGCCAGATGGGAGTCAGTAACATGCAGTTCGGGGGCCAAGGACCACCGGAGGAGACCGAGGACCGGTTCAGCATGCCCCTCATCATCACCATCGTCTGCATGGCGTCCTTCCTGCTCCTCGTGGCAGCCCTGTATGGCTGCTGCCACCAGCGCCTCTCTAAGAGGAAGGACCAGGTGAGCACTCCCCGCCCCGGGCCTGGGACCCTCCCCCCACTGTTCCCGTGCAGGGGCCAGTGAGCGGCCCGGGGCCCTGGCAGGCACCGTCCTCCTAGGAAACGGATTCTTTCATGGACAGTTAGAGCCGCAGCGTGGTGGGAGGGCAGGACGTGGGCTTCAGCGTCGGAAAGACTTGGTTTGAGTGCTAGCTCTGTCTCTCTTGTCTGCGTGGCCTCGAGCAAGCCATACAGTCTCAGCACCAGGTTTCTCACCTGCGCACTGGGAAGGGGATCCACCTGGCCGAGCTGCTCTGAGAAGCTTAGTCTGCTTACCCGCCCTGTTCTTACTGCCTGGTTTTCTGTTTCCAGGGCCATGACTCCGAGGAGTCCCTGAGGCCGGTGGGCGTAGGCATGCCTTTCGAGCCAGGTCTCTCACTCCCCTCCCTGGGATTCCCCTCATTCTGCTTCCACCCAGACCCCCGTTCTCAGCCCTGGCTGCGCACCGGGCGAGCTTTAAAAAACGATTCCCATGCCTACACCGCGTTGGGAACAGAGCCTCTGCATCAGTGTAACTGCTAAAAGCTTCCCAGGTGCCTCCTCTGTGCACCCAGGGTGTGTCTCCGGGTGGACGGAGAAAGCTCTGGCTCCCGACAGCCACTGTCTGCAGCAGAGGTGGCCCTCAGCACCCGTCCGAATGAAGTGTGTCCTTCCCAGTTCAGTACAGTGGGGTGAAGCAGGCACCCGGAGAGTAAGGTTCGTGGGGAGGGGGAATGGAGGAGAGAGCTTGGAAGACTTTGGAGAACCAAGTCCACTTCCACTCACACACGTCAGCAGGGCGAAGGCGAGGTGAGCCTCGAACTTGAGGCAGCCCCTTGTCTCCCGCGAGCCAGGAGGCAGGCCAGGCGTCAGGGTGGCCTCCAAGTGCACTTACTGCTCACACCAGCCGAATGGCAGCTCCTGGATAATGGGGGTACCCTTGTTCCAAAGGTAATAGCCCCCACAGATCACCTTTCCTCTTCGCTCCTCTTCCCCGCTCTAGCAACGGCTCACAGAGGAGCTGCAGACAGTGGAGAACGGTTACCATGACAACCCAACACTGGAAGTGATGGAGACCTCATCGGAGATGCAGGAGAAGAAGGTGGTCAACCTTAACGGGGAGCTGGGGGACAGCTGGATCGTGCCCCTGGACAACCTGATCAAGGATGACCTGGACGAGGAGGAGGACACACACCTCTAAATCAGGTCTGCTGGCACCGCCGCCAACAGGGCACAGAGCTCCAGACTGAACCACCTCAAGTGCCAACTGGACAGGGGAGGGGAGTCCTCCCCACGTGAGGGAAAGACTGGGGGTGGGGGGTTGGGGTGCGCAGACTCAGAGGGACCCGCCCTCCAATCCCCACAGGGCCTTAATATTTTCCTTTTCAAGCTGAACAAATCACATTCTGTCTAGATCCCTCTTGTAAAATAACCCACTAGTGCCTGAGCTCAGTGCTGCTGGAAGACGAGGAAGAGAAATGAAAGGAAGAGCCATATGAGTGACCTTCAGGGATCACCTGGTAGAATCCCTCCACTTCGCAGGCGAGATGACCGAGGCCTACGGAGGGGAAGGTCAAGATCACACAGCCGCCCGTGACAGAGTCAGGATGAAAACAGACTCCTTCAGACCCGTGCTCATCCCCGCCTTGCCACCTGCTCGGATCCCCAGTGCTCTCCCCCCGGAGCTGCCCTGGGCAGGGCCGAAGCTGCGTTTTATGGACAGATGGGGCAGAAGGGAGGGCGGGACCAGATCCCGTCTCAGTGGGATCTGATTACTTGAAAGTCTGGGTCCCAAGGTCAGTATCTTACCCCAGCCTCGTCTGCTAGTGTTCCTCTCCCCTTTGCTCTTCTCTTCACTCAATTTTCATTCCCGCTCTGCCTTGGTACCCTGGGACTCACAGGATGACATTCATGACCTTGAACCCCTTGTTCTGAATTCTGGTTTCTTGGCCTTGGCACAGGAGGTTGGGACGTCACCCGCGCAGGAATCCCAGTGTGGAGGAGGTCTGCGAAGGGTCTGTCTGCAGTGAGCAGCAGGGGGAGCCCTTCCTCCGGGGTGGATCCTGCTCAGCACCCCAGGCTCCTCTGTTCCTTGAGCCTCCCATGTCCACTGGGGACTTCGATCCACAGCAGCTACTGAAGGCAAAGTGTTCTTAGTTTGTTGTTTACTGCTCCTCAGATGGGGTGAGACCCAAGCTAGGGACCCCCTTCCCCTCCCCGAGACCTGGCGTGAATGAGCAGCTTCAGGAGGGACCTCCCCAGTCCCCAGCCAGCGGAGAGGTGTCCTAAAGAGACAATCGGGTGAAACGGCCATGAAGGGTGGGCTTTCTCTCCGTGTCATAGGAAACTCAGGGACTTGTCAAGTTGCTGAGCTTGTTGTTGTTTTGATGTATCTGTTTGATTTTTCCAATCCAGCCCTCTGGCCAAAGCTCAATGTACAGGGAGGCTCTCAGGCAGGTAATCTCACTGGGTGCGAGTCTCCTGAGCCCCAGGGGGTGAGCGGTGAGCGTTTTAAGGTGCACATGCGGCAGCCTGGAAGACTGGGCATCTGTCTTTTCCCAGCAGCCTTGCTGTTCTGCCTAGAAACCGTGTCCTCTTCTTGGGTCCTGGGGGGCTGCCCAGGTGTCCCTCAGGGAAACCAAATATTTCTCACTGGAAGGGTGTCGGGGGAGCTCAGCAGGTTGTGCCGTGGAGACGGCACTCGAGGACTGGGCAGAGTGAGGCTTCATCTGACTTTCCGAGAAGAGAGAATCCTGTGTGGGGTTCTGCACTCTGCCCAAGGTCTCTTGTTCCTGGGCCTCAGTTCCTTGGAAGCAACCAGGAAGATGGGCAGAACTGCTCAGGAGGACGAGATAAAGCCAGAACCCCAGAACCCAGGCCCTGCCGTGGCTCTGCTTTGGGATAGGCTCTTTGTTTTAAAGGCTAAGAGCTGAGGAGGAAGCTCTATGTCCTTCCCTGGCTGCCCGACTCCACCTTCATAGCCTTTGGCCCTTTGGTCTTGGGGTTCAAGTTGGGGCACCCATGGCTTTCCCAAGAGCTAGAGAGATGGGAGGCCAACAAGGATCCAAAACCATCTGCCCTGCTCTCCTCTCGTGGGTGGAGCTGGCAGGAGGGACAACGATGCCAGTTCGGGGAAAAGAGGTCTTGTCATGCTGGGAAAAGACATTGGCTTCCTTTCTGCCCCAGTGGGTTTGTCGTGGCCACTGTGGGAGAGGCCAGGGTGCTCCTCCTTTGCCGATTCTGGGTCCTGTTTCCAAGACAGAGGGAGCAAATATGTCTGAAAATTGGCCAAGGCCACTCCCCCCCAGGCCTGGGGTGGGGGTGGGGAACAAGGGATGGGGGAGCGAGGAAGCTTAGCAAAGCTTGGTCAAGAGGAATGACTGGCTCTGTCCACGGAGGTACCTGAGAAGCTTTGGGCCAGTCTGGAGGCTCCTTTGGTGCATTCAAAGTGTGTTTCTCTAGCCTTTGGGGCAACTTCCAGTCCAATCCCTTGCTCTTGCCACTAGACACCTATGTGAAGGCCACATGTCCATGCTCCTGTAAAGGCCTTCCCGCCTCTTCCTGGGTTCTAACTGCTGTCGGGAAGCCAGGCCCCGGGCTGAGGAGAGGAGCACGCCGGGAACACAGCGGAGTGTAAACAGCTGATGCCCACAGAGGGTTACAAACGCTCTCCTGCAGCCACACGCTGGTTCCCCTAAGCCTGTTGACTAAAGAGTTTGCCAACCACTGTCCTAAGCCACGTAAAAGGCCAGAAGCCGTGACTCTGACGATTGAATAAATCCTGAGGCAAGTGTGCTGCCACGAGAGCGAAAGAAGCCGCAAAGCTTTGGAAGGAGGAACAGAATGTTCTGGAATCGTGAGCGAGAATACGGGTTTAATCTAGGCAGATTCTCTCCCCCCCCCCCCTTCTTGACAAGGAAAGCTAGCAGAAAGTTTAAACTATTTCTGAGCTTTAGCCTTTCGGACAACATGCTGGAGAAACTGAAAAAACGAGTTCAAGCTGATAACATCTATAGATATTTTGGTAATGTATATAACATGGCCACATTAATATTTACCCAGCACTGTTTTGAGTATTCTTTGGAAAAACATTTCAGGCTTTTTTTCTCTGCACAGGAATGTAAACGTCTATTACTAGAAATGATATTTCTTGAGTGAAAAGGATAAGATAGGCTGATGACACAGTGTTTGTCTGGCATTGGGCATTTTAATTTGGAAATCGATCCTCCCTCTCCCCCCAGTCCACACCCAGTCTCCCCCCAGTATGGCAAGGGCTGCCGTCAGCATGTACTGGCTGGAAGGTGACAGCCACAGGAAGGGGGTTGTAGAGACCTAGTCCGATCTTTTTTTTAATCCAGAAAACTTGGAGCCCAGAAAGATAGTCACATGGTTAGTGACAGAAACTGGATTAAAATCTGCGTTGGAAGCCTGCCCAGTGCTCGGTGCCCCAGTGGGAACCCCCACATTCAGCACTGCTGATCAAGCACAGACCACCCCGTGACAAAGGGCAGAATTTCCTTCTGCATCCCGCCCTGCAGCAAGGCAGCAGCAATAGGAATTTACTGTTCTTCTCCACTTTCTCCTAGTTAGTCAGGTCTAAGATATAAATGAACAATTCTTTTGTCAGGAAAACAGCTCTGAGTGAGCTGTTCCATATGCATCTGCTACTAGCGGACCAAGGATCAAAGGGAACAAGATGAGGAAAGGCCGATTCACTCAGGCCTGGTGCAAACCCAACACTGAGGGAGAAGAGGGTGTCGCTATGGCGCTATTGGGTGTGGGTCTCTGTTGTTCGTGGATGTTAAACCGTTTGCCAGACAGGAGGCTGTCTTGGTGGACAGGGGTCTGAAGTACACTGGAATTTACTGAGAAACTTCTTTGTAAAGGCTATACTTAATTATTGCCATTTTCTTACAAAAATATATTTTTGAAAACTGTATACTGTCCATTAAAGTGCTTTTGTGTAAGCCGGTCTGGTCCCAGTGCTGTGCTCTGATTGGCTCGTGTTCTCTACTAGCGCACCTGCTGTGGACCCAGAGAGAGGAGGGGAGCTGACAGGAAGGAAGAGGGAAGTAGGGGTCCTGGCTGCTCCAGGCTCAGCACAAAAGGCCACTGCCCCTCACAACACTGCTTTATCACATTCCCCTCTTCCCCCTGCTTCTGTGTCAGACACAATTGTCAACCCCCAGCACCACACCCTGATCGGATATGAAAACACCGATGGAGACAAAAAAATATTTTAAAAAATTAAATGCAGGTTCTGTCCTGGCCCCGTTCCTCCCACAAAAGGATCTGTTTTCTCATCACAAGAAGCTTCTGCTTGTCCTCCATCACTCGAAGGTGCTGGAAGATGCCTCATTCTCTTCCTCTAGGTAGTGTGACTTACCTGTGTGTCCAGGTAGAACTCTCAGTCCCAGCGTCCAGAGGGGAATGTGGATCTGGTCCTCACTCATACTTGCTACACAATCTTTTTTTGCCTGACATCTATCAGTTTACAAACATTTTTACATATCTTTCTTAGGAACTATCAGCACTACCAATAGGGAAGTTGGGTATAGAGGTGATGGATTCTGTCATTTCACAGGCAGCTATTTAAGTGGCAGTGCTAGGCCTTGGATCTATAACTTTTCTCTCTCAGACCTACATTCTTTTTTTTTTTTTTTTTTCTTTCCCAGTACCACATTAATGCTGGAGCTCCAACAACAGCATATATTTCTACAGTGTAACCACTGTTACATGATTTTATGTGGGAGTTCTGAAAGGCAGTTATCACCCTTAACGGTGGGCCAGAGTTGGGCCAAGGGTATTCTGAGGTTAACTTGAAGAGTGTGCCAAGGATACAGAAAGGAGTATAAGTACCAGGAACTCGGCAGGCCCCTGGGCCGTGCTGGAGGCACACTGTTCTGAGAAGAGAATGACTCACAGTTTATTGTTGGCTACAAATTAGACCTCAGACTCCATTCTCTTCCTCTCTGCCCTGCCAACCCAGAGCCACTCTCAGTTGTTATTTTTTATTTGCTATGCCTCTTGGTCACTCAATCTCCCCCATCCTTTCTTCTGGACCCCAAGGGAGAGAGTGAAGATTAGGACTGGCTATTATAGTTAACACTAGTGATGAATGCTAAGATAGCTTGAATTTTTCAAGGACCTTGGCATGTTGTATTATAAAAAAGTCAATGGGATCCTGGCAAACAAGATCTGCTGCCAACTTTTACTTAAGAGATGAGAAAGTGAGGCAGAGAAGTTGAGACTATACCCAGTCAGGAAATAAACCCTAGCAGCTGACTCCTGCCCTGGGCTACCCCATTCCCACAGCCCATGTTCAGAGGGCAGCTGTACATTCTATGCAACAGACATCGCCAGTGTCCCAATCTCCCCTCTTGGGGTTTGCCAGCCATCAGAACTTAGCAGCACAGCAGTAGACAGGCCACACCTACCTACAGCGTGTCTCTCTTCCCTGGGAGAATTTCTAGATGGAACGGATGGCTTTGTTTTTCCCAAGTGAAAGCCGAGGAAGTCCCTGTGAACATGAGAAGCTTCAGAGTAACAACGACATGCTAGTCCAAGCTCCATGCTCCTGCCCACCTTCCCTATGCCACAGAAAGCCGTCTCTCTTCCTTCTCTCCTTCCAAGATGTGTGAGAGGAAAGGAAATGTGGCGTGCTGTGTGGTGCTGAAGAAAAGCAGGAAGGTAACCAACTAGTATTTAAGGCTATGCCAGGACTCACCTTGGGCTTCAGGATAGCCATCAGTTAGCCTTTCACACTACACCCTCTAAAACAGAAGGGTTAGTGGTAAAAAAAAAAAAAAAAAAAAAAAAAAAATATATATATATATATATATATATATATATATATATATATATATATGTGTGTGTGTGTGTGTGTGTGTGTGTGTGTGTGTGTGTGTGTGTGTATACTGCCTTCATCTACAGAAAAAAAAAATTCAAATTCTTATGAACCCTGTGGCTGTTCTGGCACACACTGGCATTTCCCTAGTACTGTGGTCGGCAAACTGCGGCTCATGAGCCACCTGCAGCTCTTTGGCCCCTTGAGTATGGTTCTTACACAAAATACCACGGCCTGGGTGAATCTATTTTTAAGAAGTGGTGTTAGAAGTTTAAGTTTAAAAATTTCAGCTCTCAAAAGAAATTTCAATTGTACTATTGATATTTGGCTCTGTTAACTGAGTTTGCCGACCACTGACCTAATAGATGCTTGATCTGCTCCTCCGGTAACTGGAAGCTCCTGAGGTAGCACTTCCAATCCAGGGAGGTCTCCACACTCAAGGTGGGAACAGCTGGCATCGCATGGAATCCAACACAACGCCCTCTTTGCTTATTGCTGACTTCCCATCAAAAAACAAATGTATTGAGGGAGAGGAGACTGTATCCCACATTTCCATCCTTTTGAGTTAGTTCTCTGGATTAACCAAGGAAAGGTCAATTCCTTGCCTGATCACTTCAGTTTTTCCTGTTTTGAAAACAAGTATCACCTATGACTCTTGCTCAAAGCACACTCAAGAAATGGAAGTGATATAAAGCAAGATGGATTTGATTTGTAAATCGAGGAAATTAATTATTTTGGGTAAAATCAGTTGACCAACTAATTCATTGCGAAATGTAGGACAACTAAGCCAAGAAAATGTAAAACAGATCAGATGTAAAGGGCCAAGTGCAGGTCTTTGTTCTTGAGATCCATTTCCTTGGCATAACTCCGAGTTTATTTTTTTCAAGGCTCAAACGCTTCCGCTGTGGACAGGGATCCAGAAGTTTTCCAAACTTTGCAACACCTTCAGCTCTGGGGTTCTCTTTTGTTACTACTATCTTTTCTACCGTAAGTTTTCTATTTCAAATCAGTGTTTTCTTCCAGTTCCTAACCTATACTCGTGTTTCCCTTAAAGAAATATATAAAACATAAAATCGAACTGGTCATTAACAGATTAAAAAACCTTACTTTATGAATTTACAGTTCTTTAAAAATGAAAACCTCCCCAGAAACTATGCCAAAGGCCCTTCTACACTTTATCATTTTCTTCTTGGAAAGCCTGAGTAAAACCTTTTTGAGGGGGGGAGGGGGAAATGTAACAACTGTGAAGTACATAAACATTTTACAAGTTGACTTCAAAAGTAGTCTTAGCAAACAAGAGACAACTGGTAGTGTCCATATATAACTTTTTATTAAGAAAATGAACAAAATACATTCTTTCTCCATATGTACATTACATACAACAATTCTACAATTGCCACTGTTCAGCAGATCACTATGCACAAAGCAGTGTTGAAAACATTTATCAAACCTGGGGTCAGAAGATCACTGAACCAAAGAACGAAGCCTACAATGTCCACACAGACAGAGCGACAGGGGTCCATGACGGGAATGGGAGACTGCAGAACACTAACACGGCGCAACAGGGACAGGACAATGCCGGCGCTAAAGAGCTCCGGTGCCCCAAAGCACTTCTGTGTATCGGCCACCACCGACTCCCGCCTGCTGTTCCTGAGCTCCCTCATGATGCCCATTTCTGGGTGAGGAACCTCAGGGTACAGCCCTAAGCCCCCACGTGCCACCAAAGAGGGTGAACAAAAGAGTGGAGCCCTGATTGGCACGGCAGTAATCGCCTTCACCCGCTAAGAAAAAGAGTCTCAAATGAAATACAAGACTTCCGAATCTCAGCTGTGAGCAAAGAAATACATTTTTTGAAGAGACACCTGCTTATGCATGATTAAGGGCACTCCTGTTTCCAAGGACTCCTTATTTACATTTACGTTCCTTTTGCCTGTTTTCCTTTTGCTTCGCTTTTCCTTTGGCTTTTGAAAAGTACATCCTTTATGGGTGAGTTTAACTATGGTTATATTAAAAAACACACGAAACAGAAAGCTCTTTGTGGGTATGAAGATGCCCCGATGTCCATAATGGTGCACAAAGAACTGATGAATTGGAATGAGTCTTAGAAGTTCCCAATGACCTGATCAAGGCAGCTCTCTACAGCTTCAGGGTAACACACCCATAATTTAGGCTTAAAAGATAATATCAACAGAATTGTTTCCAGACTGTCTAGAAAAGGACAATGTTAAAGGAATAGAAGTAAGTGTAGGCACAAATGCTGGCATCCCAGTCCTCCACACATGTGGTAAAAGACCATGAGAATGACTGTGTCAATTAAAAAAACAAAACAAAAAACAAAAAACTTTTCCTGTCCTCTAACATGTTGGGTTATGGAAGTCAGGAGAAAGAAAATGAGTTAAGTCCCATCAGCTAATATGTAGTGGTTTTCCTTCTTTACAATTATTTCCTAAATTTCTCTTTACAATTATTTCCTAAATTTCTATAATAAACACTTATATAATCACAAACATCAATAAATGCTATCATTTAAAAGTCTCATAAAAGGTTTTTAACACTTTCCAACTTTCAGATGAGAGGTGGCTGTGACACCGAGTTTCCTGTGCGGGAGCCGCGGTGACAGAAGGAGCTATCTGTCACAGCTTTACCCAGCAGCCTGGAAAGAGCAGTTCTGCTGGTTGAGGAAGGAGTTGTACCTTCCTTCTCAATCTACCTTCCAGCCCAACTCTGGTTCTGAGCATCCATAAATGGAGGCATCTTAATTTCTGGCCATTGAGTACTTCTAATTTATAAAAGTAGTAAAAGAGTTGACTTAAAAACAACTTTAACACATGCTATTTTGAAAGATGGAATGTTTGTTACCAAGACGAAGACCGAGACAGGAAAAGGAGGGCCTCAGCTTAGCTTTCCTGTACTCTTCTTCTGAGGCTGCAGACACAACAGCACATACATTTTGAAGTGATAGCAGGGAAGAAATCTCTTTAAAAGAAAATTATATACAGCTGACCTTGAACAAAATGGGAGACCCTTAACTCCTGCACTGTTGATAACCATTTCGAAAATCCACATATAACTTTAGACTCCCCCAAAATTTAATTAATTACTAACAGCCTACTGTTGACCAGAAGCCTTACCAATAAACACGCAGCCAATTAACTAACACATATTTTATACGTTATATGTATCAGACACTATATTCTTACAATAAAGCTAAAGAAAATATTAAGAAAATCATGAGAAAAATATATATACAGTATTTATTGAAAAGAATCCACATATAGGTAGACCCACGCAGTTCAAAGCTGTGTTATTCAAGGGCCAACTATTTAATATCCATATATATATATATATATATATATATATATATATATGTCCATATATATATATCCATAACAGAATCTGCTCATAGAAAAACACATTATATTGCAATTTTTAAATTGAAGACTATAATAAAGGAAATTAATACTATACTATCTAATTTATACATTTCAAAAGACATTTTGCACAAGTCAAAAAAGCAAGCTGGCTTATAGAATAACACAATCACAGCACCTCTTGGCCAGACTAAATATAATGTTTAAGAAAGTCCATTTTTATTTCTCTAATAAAAAAAAAAGGGGGGTGGTATACAATTGAGAGAGAACAAAGTTTACAACTGGTTAGTCACCAAAATAGTATTTCTGGGAAAGGAGGGGGAAAAAAAAAAGAGAGACCAATACATGACTTTTAAATATATATATATTCCCCATAGACTATTCATACTTAAACTTTTAAACTTTCATATCTTACTATCAAATTTTGGGTTGGATAGACAACTACTTTAGTATATCTTATAATGTTATATTCAGTGCTTTTACACGTATAGCTAATGTGTAAAGTTAAACTAAGCCTTTAAAAGATGAAAGTAGCCTAGGACTTCTAAAGCAAGCAATTAAAAAAATGCGAAGCTCCCTTCTCCCCCTCATCCCAAGAAAGTAAAGATAGCCGAAACCAGTTTGGCTCAGTGGATAGAGCGTTGGCCTGTGGACTGAAAGGTCCCAGGTTCGATTCCTGTCAAGGGCATGTACCTTGGTTGCAGTAGGCAGCAGATCGATGTTTCTCTCTCATTGATGTTTCTAACTCTCTATCCCTTTCTCTTCCTCTCTGTAGAAAATCAATAAAATATATTAAAAAATAAAATAAAGAAAATAGTAACTCCCAGGCAACATGCTAGAACAGGCATCCGCAAACATCTGACAGCATGGCCATGATGGCATAAGATCCTTTCCTCTGTTTTGTTGCAAAATAATCATAAGACTCTGCCAGCCACAATAGCATTAGCCTTATTCTAGATACTTTCTCTAATTTAATGAACACTTTACAGATATGGAGGCAACCTAAAGAATAATCAAAGTTATTTAATACTTCTAATGCCAAACCCAGAATTAATGTATCTATTTCTTGGCCAAGCAGAATAAACAGACCTTTGGGATTATGTAGAATTAATTTATTTTAAAACATGGAAACTAAATTGATGTTAGTTCAATTTTGTATAGGTTATAAGTTAAGCATGAAATGACAATATTTTTCCTATCTTGAAGGGCTTGAAAAAAATACTAACCAAATGCCCTAAACTGAACAAAGGCTTTATTTCTTGAGAAATAAAGCTCAAAATTGTCTACTTGAGCAACTCTTTAATCATGCATACAGGCCTGTTTAGTATATCAACAGTGTTTTCCCTTCCTGCCAATTAATCTGGCGTTCATTAAGCCCTGAAGGAAAGTGAAGAGTGGTGATCTCCTTAGGCTGGCATTCACGTGGCAGACAGCACAGAGATCCAACTATTTCCTGAATGCTAGCATCTCAGATGGTACAGAGCTGTCTGTAGCAAGAACTTCACCTCCACGCAAAGCAAGTCCCAGGGGAGTCCCAAACTGCATGTTAAAATGTTGTAGTGCTGGCTTTCCCTCTGGATCCTTATCAAGGAAATAGCTGTACATAATAAACTGCTCACCTAGTTTAAGATCTAGAACCCATTACATTGTGTTTTAAAAAATATATTTTTATTGAGTTCAGAGAGGAAAAGAGAGAAATATCAGTGATGAGAGAGAATCATTGACTGGCTGCCTCCCTTTCCTGTCCCCTGCCATCAAGGATCGACCCTACAACCTTGTACATGTGCCCTGACTGAGAATTGAACCATGACCTCCTGGTTCATGGCCAACGCTCAACTGCTGAGCCATGCTGGCCAGGTTGCACTGTGGTTTTTTTCCTGCTTGTTTGTTTCAAGATCACTAACAGCTATTTGGGAGAAGATGAGAAAAGAAACTAACCAAGAAATGCTGCTTTCCAACAACTATTCAGAATAACTGAGCTTTGATCCCTTTTGATAAGTCTTCTTTCTAGCACTGCATTAATAAAATTTATCTATGGCTAGAAAGGAAGAGCTTTTTTTTTCATTTAGATTTGTGCATCTTCAAATCCATAAGGAAAAAATGAAGTTTCATCTGGCTGGTGTAGCTCAGTGGCTGAGCAGTATCCCATGAACCAGGAGGTCATGGTTGGATTCCTGGCTAGGGCACATGCCTGGATTGTGGGCTCAATCCCTAGTAGGAGTCATGCAGGAGTCAGCCTATTGATGATTTTGATGTTTCTATGTCTCTCTCTCCCTTCCTCTCTGAAATGAATAATTTCTTTTAAAAGTTCCTTTTTTCTTTTCTAACATATCCTCATTCTCCTCTCTAGCTCTGTTCCTGAGGCTCAAGTGAAAATGTCACAGAGAGGCAAAATAGAACACTGTACACATAAGTTGCATAGTTCATTAAGATGATGTGAACAACAGACAAAAAGACAAATTGTTTCACAATTATAAGTGATATCTTGCAAATGGTCTACTTCCCTACTAAACATTTCTCCCATTTTTGTTGTTAACCCTATAGCTCTTGGATAACATCCACATAACATCCTGTTTTAAATCAAGCCAGGCAGGGTTTGAAGACTTGAAAGCATATTTGCAAACTTTATTTCCAAACAATGACTCTAATGTGAAAGAGAAACTAGAACTACCCTTTGGTTCTGGTGTTTTCAAGCTCTGAACTGGGATTCCTAGTTCAGGTCTAGAACTTGAAGGCTCTCCTCAACCAACAGACAGACAGTGATAAGATTTCCCACAGGACACTGCTCTCTGCACCACTAGGAAATCTGTATTACTATAATCTCTCATTACTCCTTAAGGGATATAGAATCTATTGTCAGAGGATTTTATCATTGGCTATGACTAGGAATAAGATTTAGTCATTTGGAATTTGAACTAAATTCACATTGTTGAGGGGAAGAGACGTGTCTAAGCCTGCATTACTTTTATTAAGAAAAAATGAATACCAATCATTTCATGGAAATTAAAGCTATTACCAATGCCCAATTATACTGAAATTAAAAGTCAATTCTTAACACAAATTCCAACTTCAGCAGAAAATCAGTGCTACTCAAAGGAGTTGGGAGTAGGGGGGAAAGGCTATGAAGTATAAGGAAAGGAAAAACAATAGGCAAATGGAAATGCTGGTGATGTGAATTCCATAAGCTCTGCTATGAAACCTGTACCTTATCAATAACTTTATGAATAAACTTACTAGTGACAGGAACAGAAGCCAACACTGGCACCTCCATTAAAGCTGCCATAACGATATATTACTATCCCCCATATGAAA